AGAGTAGATAAATCTGTCTTAAAATAATTGCATCTAGGATTTCCTTGGAGTCAGTGGTGATTAGACATCATTGTTCATAATCTAAGTATGTTGTCTGGAAGGGCAAGTCTTTGGAACTGAACAGCATTCTTAGAAAATTGGAGAGTCAAAAAATATTACTACAGAACAGGTTGTTGTTTTTAGATGCTTTCAATTCAAGTGCAATTTATAACAACACTCTGAACAGCTGACCTGAACCCTGCCTTGTCCTGTACCATACTCACTATCTCTGACAGTTCAGCCCATTGCGGAAGCCACTGTATCAATCATCATGTTGGGGGGTCTTCTTCTCCTTCACTGACCCTCCATCTTTCCAAACATGATTTGCCTTTCCAAAGAATAGCTTCACCTAGCTACATGTCCATAGTATGAAGGACAGAACGTTGTTATCTTTGCTTCCAAGGAGCACTCTGGATACATTTTATTCCAAGACATACCTGTTTATTCTTTTGATAGTTCATGGAATATTCAGTACAATCCTCTGGTACCAAAACTTTAAGGCATCAATTCTTTTGTCATTTTTATTCAGTGTCCAGCTCTCTGATGATTGATTGAGAAGACCATGGCCTGAATCAGGTGCACCTTAGTTTTCAAGCTGACATCATTACTCTTCAGTACTTAGAGATGTCCTTCACAGTAGACTTGCCCAATACAGTATGTCTCTTGATTTCCTGAATGCTGCTGATACCAGGGGTATTGATTGTTGATCAAAGTAGGATGAAATCCATGACATCCTTAAACCTTTCTCCATCTCCCATAATGTTGACTGTTAGTCTTGTGGTAAGAATCTTTGTTTTCAGCCATACCAAAGGCTGCAGTTCTTGATCTTCTGGAACAAGTATTTCATATCCTTCTTACTTTCAGCAAGGAAGGTTATGGTAGCTACATAGCAAATTGATGAGTCTTCCTCTGATCCTGATGCCACATTCCTCTTCATAGAGTCTAGCTTTATGAATTATTTACTCAGCATGCATATTGAATAGGTATGGAGAAACAATACATCCTTGATGCATGCCTTCCCTGATTTTAAACCATGTTCCCTTGAGCTGTTGGGACAAAAGCTTCTTGATCTGGGTATAGATTTCTCATGAACACAAATAAGTGTTCTATGAGTCCAGTTCATCTCAATATTAGCCATTATGTGTTATGATCCACACATTTAGATGCCTTTGTACACTCAAGAAAACAAATAGACATTCTTCTGGTATTTTCTGCTTTTAGCCAGGATGCATATGACATCAGCAATGATATCCCTGGTACTATGGCCTCTTCTAAGCTAGCTTGACCCTCTGGTAGTTCTCTGTAAATGTTCTAGCCATTTTTGGATGATCATCAGCAATATTTGCTTGAATTTGAAATAATGATATTTGATAATTTGATAATTTCCACATTCTGTTGAATCACCTTTATTGGGAATGAGTATACATATGGATCTTTTTGAGTCAAGTCAATGTGGAATTCATCTTTCAGTATGACTTTCCTAGCCATTGAAATTGATTTTGCCATGTTGGTGGGCCAGAATATGTGAATAAGACATACTTCCCTATCCACAAAGGGATTGGCTATCTTAGCTATCCACAAGAGGATTGGCTAATCTTAACAATCTACAAGGGCTAGTCTTGCCATTAAATTGAGTGGACTCAGCAGCAGAATTAGAAGATCTTCCACACCAGTGAAGAAGAAGAAACCTCACCACCAAGAAAAGAGCAAGTAAGAGCGACTGCAAGACCAAAAACAGTAATAGCCACAGGAGAACCAGAGACCTGACATGAGATGGGGCTCTGAGGTTGTTACATCATTGCAATCAGAGTTGAGTGCCTTTTCCCAAGTGTGTTGAACACCTAGGGATGGGGAGAGCCAATACTAGCAGGACTAAGAACTTTGTAACACTGGCCTTAAGCTGTGAGGCTCAAACCTGAGGTGCCTATGAGCACATTTTGGAAGTTGTGTTGACTTTATTCTACTACTAACCTGGATTATAACATTTTGACTTTCCAGTATGATTTTGTGTGATCTGTGAGTGATCACATTGTATTTTGGGCCTCGTAAAGAAGTAGGATTGGTGTTGAGATGCTCACATATGGAAGCATAGGGGACATGTCTGACCTCATGAGAATTGTTTTTGTGTTGTTAATGCTGTTGACAGGAACACTTGTAAACGTGTAAGCTTTGTAAACTTGGTAAAAGTCAGAATATGGCCATTCCCACATAGACCTTGCTCTTTTTACAGTGAGCCAGGCAGCTCTCCTCCAAATTACCTAGCATAAACTGGTGAACACATCCATGTCTGCATTGGTTAGTTGAAATATGTCACTTGATATTCCATCGGTTCCTTGGGCCTTATTTTTTGCCTGTGGCTTCAGTGCAGCTTTTGTTCCATTGGGTCTTGTTCACATTATACTTCCTGAAACTTTTTTCTTTTAAGTGATTCTTTTTTGGATAATAATTCTATATAATCTGCTATTTTTTTTGTTATTTCTGGATAATTTAAGATTTTTTGCCCATAGCATGTTTCAGTATTGCAACTCAAGGCTTGAAATAGGTTTTCAGTTCTTTCATCTTGAGAAATGATGAATAAATTTTTTTGAGTCCACCCTTTTTGCACATGCCACTATAATATTTTGTTTTATTTTCTGGGACTGCCCTTTGAAATCACCTGTTCAGCTCTTTTACTTCAACATCAGTTTCTTTTGTTTTGGCTTCTCAATCCTCTAATGTACTTTTCACAGTCCCTTCTGATACCTGTTTTGGGTTTTTCTTTCTCCTCCTCTTTGTAATGACCTTTTACTCTCTTCATAGATATCTTTGATGTCCTCCTACAGTTCCTCTGTTTTTCAATCAGTGGTGTTCAATATCTCAAACCTGTTCTGTAGATGATTTTTAAATTCAACTGGGATAGACTCAAGATCATATCTAAGGGAGTAAAATAATAAAAATAAATTTAAATAATAAAATATTGGACCATAAGTTTTTCTCATATCATGGTATCTTTTAAACTATGAAAATTAGCAGTTACTCTCAGTTTAGTAAGGGATGTAAGTATGAACATTTCACTCTAAGTTACTCATCAGTATGGCCAAATGTGATCATATTTTATTCTCCCCTATAAATCACCTTTGATTATTCATTTCTTGTTGTAGGCTCCTTTTCCTTTATGGTTTTCTAAGTTAGAAACCTCAAAGCAATCTAAGTATCCTTCATCTTGTTGACCACACATAGCGGGAACATTATGAAATCCTGTCCATAGCTCATTATTCAGTTAGATTTCATAGACCCAATGTGGAAATCAGCAACTGAATATTGATCCTTTCTTTGGCTTGTATTTCGGTTGAAATTAACCTTTTTCTCCCATAAGTAATGCATGCTTTTTACAGAATAAGGGAAGGACAAATAACAAGGTAAGGAGAACAAGAAAAGCATGACAATTAGGATTTGAAATGCTACCTCCTTATAGAAGTCTAATAGATTTTCTTCCATTTAAGATCAGTTAATGCTCAGAATTAAATCTAAGCTCTTTAGCCTGTAATGTGAAGATTTTCCACAAGAGCTTTTGAAAAATCTACACACCTAATATCTATCCACTTTTCCTGCTTGTAAATATTTAATAGGGAAGGTGGTAGTCGTTTGGGGCTTCGTGGAGTGGGTGTATGTGGTGGTGGACCTACAAATCCTTGTAGCCTTTGTTGATTTCAGTATTGTAGCTTCTTGGGAATAACATGAAGTTTAATAGCTTAAATAAAACTCTGGATAATTTAACACTTACTTCTTATGAGCTCATATAAGCCAGCTCCAGTAAGATTGGTTTCCATCCTGTGAGGTGTTATTTCAAAGCTTTAAAAACATGCAGTTCTCTTGCCTTACAATAGTTATTCCTCTATGAAATTGAGGATATGAAATGTCTATAAAAATTGCCATTAATCTTTAAAAATACAACGGAGATATCCTTCCTTCTCTCTGAGCATTCCTCCCTTTCCAGATAGTTCCCCAATGCCCGTCAGTTTTTCTTGTCATCCTTACAAATACTTTTATTTCTAATTCATCATTTTATCACATATTCTTCTTTTCTTATCTAGCTATCTCTTTCTCAGTTAGATTATTAGTATTTGATAGCTCAGTTTTGCAAATGAATAAATGATACACAACCATTGATGCTTCTGCATATATAAAATTTTAGTATTCCAATATCAAAAAGTATGAGTAGATTAACATGTTAAAGCTTGCTTTTACCTTAGATTGATGACACTCATTGCTGACTCCTAGTGCTCTACAGGGTTGAATAAAACCACCCTGCAATGTTTCTAAGGCTGTAAACCCTTTTAGAAGCAGACTGGTACACTTCTGTCTCTCAGCGTCGTTGATGAGTTTTAACTCTCTTCCCTCTTCCAGTTAACATCTGAATGCTTAACCACTATGCCACCAGGATAGATATTTGCACCTGGGACTGACCTGATACTGGTAATAGCAGATCATGTCATTGATGAAAGCATGTTAGGCAAAGTACCAGGTAAACCACCGTGCTTCTGTGTTTCACTAGAATGAAAGAAACCACCTCATTGCTTCTGATGAAATGGAATTCTCATTCTTAGCATTTTATTCTCTTCCCTGTTTTCATAAACCTTTACTTTTTAAAAAATTCTTCTTTTTGAAAGTTTGAGAGTATCTGTTTGTAACAGATGACTCTTAACCAACATGTTTTCAGTTAGAACCCACCAGAGGTGCCTCAGAAGAAAGTTCTAGTGATCAGCTTTCAAAAATATCAATCGCTGATAAGCCGACAGAGCACACATCTCCTCTGACCACATCCAGCTACTGTGCAAGTCAGCGTTGAGTGACGGCAACTATTTTCTGTTTGGTATAGGGAAGCTTAAAGCACACTTTTTGGGGAGCACAGAGGGAGCCTCGTGATGTTGGTTGCATCTGTTTAATTGATGGTCTCCTGTTTTCTGCTTCTGTTCAACCAGCTTGTGTGCACAGGACTCCTTCCCTTTGACAGTTCAATCCTGCATCATGCCGAGAGACTGTGAAACCACCGAGTGGTCCTCCTGGAGCCCTTGCTCGAAGACGTGTCACTCAGGGAGTCTCTCTCCAGGTTTTAGGAGTCGGAGCCGCAGTGTGAAGTGCATTGCTATTGGAGGTGGGAAGGAGTGCCCTGAACTTCTTGAGAAAGAGGCCTGCATTGTAGAGGAAGAACATTTACAGCCCTGTCCCAGGTACTGTGCATTCTTTTGTGTGGGTATTTATTAGTCTATATGGCCTCATTTGCTGTGGTGATGCGAGTGCTGATGAAAGGAGTTGTAACACTCTTTGTGGAAGTTTCATTCTAGATCACAAATTGTAGTGTATGGCTTAGGTGCTGAGTTCAAGTCCTATTTCTGTGATTTTTTTCTGACTATATGAGTTTTAGCAGGTTGTTTAATGTCATATGCCTTGGGTTCCTCATCTGCTGGCAATGCTTAATTTCTTTCATCAACTGACACTTGGTAAATACTCATTACTCATCATTATGTATATCAATTAACTTTCATAACGGGCTAAAAAAGCTATTCGTAGAATCCTCATTTTTCAAATGAGACCTTTCATTCTTACAGAAGTTAAGCAATTTCCATTCCTCCATAGCTAATGCATGCCAGAGACCTGACTCTAAGCTGGTCTGTCTCTGAATCTTCTGACCATTTAGTGGAAATTGCTCCATTCTTGAGTCCTGAGGGAGTCTGACAAAGTTGAAAACATGTTATTGTTAGTCACTAACTGTATTTTAATGACTTAGTTTGAACTATGTTTTGCCTAGCTGTAACCCTGGCAAAAGTCTTCCATGAATTTCCCTTTGGGGTTTTTATTAAAAACTTATAATGAGATAGTGGATTCTTTGTGGCTGGCAGCTCAGTTGTGGGCAATGGATTTATTAGGGGCTCCTGCTAGAGAGATGCCCAAGTTGTATCTGTCAATCTATAAGTTTAAGATAGACATTTTCTAGAAGTTTCTCATAATCTCTAATATTTGAGAATCATTTGCCCAGCAGAAAATAAAATGAGAGGAGGGAAAACTCGTGGGAATTGAGCATCTGAGGATATATGAAAGGTTGATTGGGTTTCAAACTTAACAGATGCTATTGATGGGCTAAGATCCGATTCTTTCTTAGACCAGAAATGAGGTGTGTGTTCGGAATGGTATTTTGGTTAAAGAAACAGGCTCCTTTTGTCCGATTCTTAACCTCTCATTCCTCCTGCCTCTTTCACTTTTAGAATCACTGTTGACTGAAAATATTTCTACATTGTCATTGTTCGTTTTATGAAAAATAAGGTTGTCTGTAGATTTTTTATTTTAAATATTTTATTAATGATTTTTAATGCAACATGTATATTTCTACAGCATATTCTTTCCATTTAATTTTCCTCCATTCATTCATAGTTGCACATTTTCCTCCTGCCCACCGCTCTGCCCTCCCCACCCCCAGTTCTCTTTGAAGAAACAAAAAAAAAATTCTTTGTCCTTAGATTCTTAACATTCGTCAGATAAATGTGGTTCATATTTATATGAGCCTTTATATATTGACTCCTATTACAGATATTGCACAGCCCCCAACTTTTGTTGAATATGTGTCCATTCTTTCAAAACACTAATGATGGAGTAAAATTGAAGCTTGAGAATGGCATAAGCCTGAGGTCTCTGCCCTTTTTTCAAACCAGTTAGATTGTGATTGACCTGGCTTAAAATTGTGTATCACTTACTAACTATGTGACCCCAGAAAAGCTGGCTTTAAGAATTATTTCTGCTTGATAAGATGCATTTGGGAAGTATTAGACACCAGATCAAGTGCTCATCTCTTAGAGAAACCAGCAAGGATTATGACCACTATTGTTGCTGTTTGTAATTATGCTCATTTCTTCCAGATAAAGGATTTGTACTTTGCTTGGAAGGCAGGTTGTAGTAGTTTATTAATTCTTTATGGATAATTTAGCACTTTTTTCCCCAGCAAAAAGATAATTGAGGAGAATTCTCAGTGGTAGGGAGGCAAGAATAAAAAAATCATCATTTAACAATCACCTTGCCTCTTTTCTGACCTTTCTTGCAAGAAGTGGCTAGTATCTTTTTTGAGGTTTTCAACGGTTGTGTGTGTGTAAAAAAACAGTGACAGTGTAGAAATGTATTCAGTCAATAGTGATTCACACACACACTCACACACACTCACTCCCCTGCACACCTTTCCAGGTGCTCCGTCAAATGGGTAATCTCCTGTAATATTTACTGCCTCTGCAAACCCACTAGAAAGTCAGCTATAAGTTGGTTATGACTCAATGGCAATGAGCGAGTCATAT